TGGGAACACCTTCAACATGACAAGGGACATCTACAAAAAAACCCTACAGCTAACATCACACTCAACAGTGACATACTGAACATCTTGCCTGAAGACAGATCAAGTTGAGGATGTCAGATCTCACCACTTCTACTCAACACTGTCCTGGCCAGTGCAATAAAGAAAGAAAAGAAAAGAAAAGCCACAAATATTAGTGCAGAAGAAGTAAAACTGTCTCTACGCAGATGATGGTTGTGCTTACTTGGCAAATCCTTAGGAATACACACACAAACACACACACACAAAATCCTCAAAAAACCAACCCACTATAACTTACAAGTGAATTTAGCAATGTTCCATATATAAATCAATTGTATTTCTATATACTAGCAACAAATAATTGGAAAATGAGACAAACAAAAAAATATTTTACAAGGACATTCAAAAACATTTAAAAGTTATAGGTAAATTTAATAAAAGATATGCAAGACCTATTCACTACAAACTATAAAACATTTCTGAGAGAAATTAATGATCCAAATAATATAAAGATATGTCATGTTAATAAATTGACGGACTCAATATTATTAAGATATAAATTCTCCCCAAATTGATCTACAGATTTAATACAATCCCAATGAAGATTCCAGCAGGCTTTTTTTTTAAGGAATCAACAAGCTAATTCTAAAATTTACATGAAAATGCAAAGAACAGAGAATAGCCAAAGCAATGTTTAAAAAGACGGGGGGCTTCCACTACCTTACTTCAAGACTACAAAGCTACAAGACAGTGAGGACTGATGAAACGACAATCAAACAGATCAATGCAACAGAATAAAGCATCCAGAAACAGACCCTCACATACCTAGTCAAATGATTTCAACAAGACGACCAAGCAATTCAGTGGGAAAAGAAAGTTTCTTCAACTGATGGTGTTGAGACAACTGGATGCAAGTAGGAAATAAAAACTGAACCTCACATCACATGAAAATTAGAAATGAGTCGTCAGGGCTGGCCCCGTGGCTCACTCAGGAGAGTGTGGCACTGGGAGCGCCAAGGCCGCGGGTTCGGGTCCTATATAGGGGTGGCCGGTGCGCTCACTTGCTGAGCGCAGTGCGGGCAACACCAAGCCAAGGCTTACGATCCCCTTACCGGTCACAAAAAAAAAAAAAAAGAAATGAATTGTCAAAGCTCAATGTGAAGACCAAATCTACAAAAGCCCTGGAAGAAAACAGAGGAGTATGTCTTCATGACTTCTAGTTGGGCAAAGACTTTTCAGGCAGGACACAGATAGCACCAACCGAAAAACAATCGACCAACTACCTCCATCAAAACTGCAAACTTTTGCTCATCAGAAGACGCCATTATGGTGGACACAAGATTCTGTGCATTTGTGTAAACCCAAGAACTGCATATCACAGAGTAAACTTTAACGTATGAAAACAAACTAACAAAAGTCAAGAGTATCAGCCAGATCGTCAGAGACGGACTGAGGCTGTGACCAACAAACGTAACCATAGGGAACAGGGAAAAGTAGCTGATCTAAGTAAGTAACTTTGGAAGGTAGTTTTTTTTTTTAAAGATGACCGGTAATGGGATGTCAACCCTTGACCTGGTGCTGTCAGCACCACGCTCTCCCCAGTGAGACACAGGCTAGCCTGGGAGGTAGTAGTTTGACTAGAAACTGGTAAGGCTAAAGACAAAAGAAACCATACATAAATACTGTGTTCTACCTGGTAAATTAGTTTCTTATGGGGCTATAGGGTATATGGAAGTGCAGTTCTGAAACCGCTTAACATGTGCACAGGGGTTGAACCGATAAGTAACTAGAGGGGGATAGCAGGAGCCAGGTTCTCACTGTTGGAGTGGGAAGGTGCAGATAAGCATGTGACGCTTTACAGGTGACAAACACACACACACAGACAGCAAGCACATTTGTCATCCAGTTCTGTCCACTGGTAAGGCCAAAAGGCAATGACACCTAAGGCCCAGATCCCAGTCTCTAAGACTGTGCTCCAAGCACAGGGACCAGGGCTCCTTGTGGCAGTGGCCAATCCCAGGGCCGGGCAGG